AAGATTGCATAACTTAATTGGATATAACGTTAAATAGGAAAGTTCCTCTCATTTATATGTGACTGTCCTTGTAAATTTTTTAAAAATATTTTTTGACACAGACACATGTTATTAATCTTAATCCTCGTGTGTACTCACATTTTTTTAATACTGGAAACTCATGTTAAAAAAAATAGATGGTAAATTGCAGATAACCTCTCCATCTATACCTTAAGTAGCACTTATCATCTTTATACTCGCTTCTTAGCATTTATGACCCTAGGGTTCACATTGTCAGAAGGCTAGACTGCAGGTAATCCCATTCATCCCTGGAATTTGAGGGGTGGTGAGTGCTAATGAACTTGTTGAGGGATGATATGTGCTACTTAGATGGGGGTTATCTGCAATTTACCCAAAAATATGTTATATATATATTTACTATTATCTTGCATCGCTCCTTAGTTCTTATGATAATATAATATAGGACAAAATAACAAACTCATCCTTAAAGTATTGGTGAATTCTCAACTCCCCCCTTAAAAAGTATCAATTTACCTATTTTTCCCTTAAACTATGTGTACGTGCTCAATGTGGTCATTTTGTGAGCCCACAATCAAATATTTAATAGATCAATAATGTGATTGTGACAGTTAGCAAGTGCCATGGTAAAGGTGTTCTAAAGAAAAATACCTCTGTGTGCTTCTTAGAGAGGAAATTTTATCGCTCAGCTGATATTATACCGTCTGGTGTTTCAAAAATTTAACTTGGAGCCTTTTGAACTCTTTGTATAAAGGAGAGACCTAGTTCACTTGCATAAACCTGTATTGAATTTATTTATGATGAAATCTAAGCGAACCATTATACAAACAGGCAAGAGAGCGAGCTTGGAGGATTGGGCAGCAACGGGATGTAACGGTGTATAGACTTATCACACGCGGGACTATAGAGGAGAAGGTGTACCACAGGCAGATATACAAGCATTTCTTAACCAACAAGATCTTGAAGAACCCTCAGCAGAGGAGATTCTTCAAAGCCAAGGACATGAGAGATCTTTTCACTTTAAAAGATGACACCGATGTTGGCTCTACTGAGACATCAAGTATCTTTGGCCAGCTGTCTGAAGAGATAAATCTTGGGGTTGGCAAATGCAATGATAGCCAAGATAAACAAGGCTCCTCATCAGTAACTTGTGAGCCTGTTAGAATAGAGCAAACACATTCACTAAAAAGTAAATGCTCAGGTTCAACTAGTAATGGAGAAGAATGTGGCGACCAGAAGAATTGTGAGATTGATGAAGAAGCAAACATTTTGAAGAATTTGTTTGATGCCCAAGGGATCCATGTAAGTTCGTCTTTGTATTTTAAAGCATTGTTTTTTAGCAATTTTGTGTTTAAATTGTAGGGTTAATTGCACATATACCCCATATATTATTGTTGGTTTGAACTTACTATCCATACAGTCTCGTTTTGGTAGATTAACCCCCTGGGTTAAAACCGTTATGACTCTTTGACCGTAAGATAGACTCACTACTTCTCACTCGGGCAAAGTCTGCCAAAATTTCATCCAGGGTAAAGGAGTCAATAAATAATTCAATCATATAACCTAAGGGTTCTATCTGCCAAAATGAGAGTACAATTGGGTTGTAAGTTCAAAATAATGATACTACAGGCAGTAGGGGTGCATTTGGTCCGGATACGGCTCGAATATGATGCTTACCATATCCATATCTGCTTGCCTATCTCAGATACAGATACGGATACAGATATACCTCAGTAAGGAAAATTCATATCCATGTCTGTCAAAATCGAATACGATTATGGATATAGACGCAGATATATAAGCGGATATGCATGCGGATACAAAACGGATATGAAAAAACTAGATAGTATTGAGAAAAATATAGTTCATGTGATACAAAAGAGTTCGTTAATATGTTTATTATAATTGAAAAGCTAAGATTAGACATCTTGATCATTGAAATTAACCACAAATCCATAATCTAAGAATCGAAACAATCGTAAGCGTATGACCAGTATGTATTCGGATATTTCGGATATGGATATGGATACAGATATTTCACTACAAAACCATATTCGTAACCATATCCTATCGGTTATAGATTTGAGTACCATATCCGTATCCTAACAGATACGGTTATGGATAGTTCCTCGGACACGAATACGGTTTAGCACCCCTAACAGGCAGGGTCTTTGTGCAATTAACACTTTAAATTACTAGATAGTGAAACTTAGCACTTGATGCAGTTTAAATGTTCATCCTTTCTTTTCCATTATGGCTATATGGGTGGAAAACTAGAGAACATGTCTACCGAACAACTGATGCCTGGAATGGACTTTTAAAAATCGGTACATTCAAGTATTCAATCTGAACATCATGTTTTGCACTGATCTGAGGATGGCAGTTTCTAACCACCAAATGCGCAGTGAACATGTTCCGCTGGATAGTTTCTTCAACCTAATGAATTTGCAACACAAAAATACACGAAACTACTATCTGATCATGTAATCTTCTTACAGAGTGCAGTAAATCACGACGCGATCATGAATGCCAACGACGACGATAAGTTGCGAATGGAGGAGCAAGCGTCCCGAGTTGCACGAAGAGCAGCTGAAGCTCTCCGTGAGTCTCGAATGCTCCGAAGTAAAGAAAGCTTCGCCGTCCCAACATGGACGGGACGATCCGGTGCAGCCGGAGCTCCATCCTCTATCCATCGAAAGTTCGGTACAACTGTAAATACCAAACTAACAGCTTCCTCTCCCAACAGGTCCAATGGGCTTTCTATTGGGCCTTCAACGGGGAAGGCTCTATCTTCTGCTGAACTCTTGTCAAGAATTCGGGGAACACAAGAGAGAGCGATCGATGATGCTTTAGAACAGGATTTGGATTTGGCGTCAAGTTCGAGGGAGAGAAAAGGATGTATACAAGAAACTCATCGGACATCGAGAAGTTCAAATAAGATCGCGGTTGCTCAGCCTGAAGTGTTGATACGGCAGTTGTGTACTTTTATACAGCAGAGGGGCGGGCGTGCTGATTCTGCAAGTATAACACAACATTTTAAGGATAGGATACAGTCAAAAGATTTGCCCCTTTTCAAGAATTTGTTGAAGGAAATAGCGACGTTGGAGAGGGGGGCTGAGGGGACGAGGTGGGTGTTGAAGCCTGAGTATCGGTAGCAATGTGGCCCTACGTACGTATGATACATTGATTTGGTTTCATGGCTGATTGTGGGTTCGAAGCGTAACGCTCGCGTGAAAGCTGATGAGAAGAATGCATCGAATAGATTTTGCAGACTACAAATGATAGGCTAAATAAAAAAGGTCCTTTTGTTTTCCCTTTTATTATTTATTTTCTTTTTTATTTTTTTGTTAGAGAGATGGTTCAATTGATAGGGATATTTTGATATTAAATACAGATCTTTTGATGTACAGAGCAAAACACAAATTACAGTTAGATAGAATTTATTCTATGCATATGCTTATATTCTCATAATTGTTTCTCGCCGCTGCTCTTGGGTCTGCTGTTCTTACATTGTTTGTACCACACTTTAACTGCTTATGGTAATTTTTTAACTGCTTATGTAAATAAGTTAGTTACATCATATCTGTATTGTTACCATGCCCTTTATGTTATACTAGTGTGCACCCCGTGCAAAACACGACCCCCTATTTTTTCAAGCACCGCATTTTAAACTTGCGTCCCTCTAAATTTTAATACATTTAATTTAATTATTATATGCTTAAAATTAGAAATCATATCAACGAAGGATCCAAATTTTAATACATTTAATTTAGAAATCATATCTACTCCTCTATACTTAAAGATGATCCAAAGTTTAATACATTTGATTTGTTTTGCTGTTTATGATACAGTAATACCGTAGCATGAATAGTAACTTCAAGTATAGAGGAACCAATTTGATTTACCGTTTATACACCAATAAAACTGTTGTATGAACAGTAACTTCGAGCGCATTATGATTTACTATTTATATTACGATACTTACCGCAGCATTTGCAGTAGCATGGCCATTAATTCCTTGGATTCTCCTTTTTAAGTATAGAGGAACAGATTCGCAATGATCTAAAATGGATCATAATTTTCTATGGAGAACCCTCATGCATCTTTTCCACGTACTTTAGGAAGTTACCAATATATCCTTCCCAAACTGCCCCTGCTCTAAACTGCTCCCGTGCCTTTCAGAATCTTTCCTCTCTCTATCAGTCTCCCCTTACCCAACTCCCATGTTCTCCCAATCTTCACCCTCCACCTCTCTCTTCCAGAATCCTTTCCATTTACTTTTTTTTTTTGTAGAATTTTATCTGGTAATGCCTGCTCCCAGTATTGGGATGATATCAAACTATCTCAAGAGCTGCTCTTTGAATGGAAGAGGAAGAGGCAGGGGGGGTCCTGTCACCAGCGGTGAGCTCACCGTTGCCGGAGAGGACAGTGGAATTATGTAGAGAGAATGTGAAAGATATTATTTATACATTACCGAACAAAGGCGTTCTCCTTTTAAGCTCACTCATTGTAAATTAACCTTGAGAATTAAGACAACAGATTTGTTGCAAAAATTTAATCATGTTTGTACATCCAATCTTCAATTCTCACCATCGTTAACCAATAATCACATGGTTTATAGTTAAAAAGTGTGAACACACAAACACATCAAAAACATATCCAATGACCAACTTATATATATATATATATATATATACTATATATATATATATATATATATATATATATAAACAAACAAGAAATTCTAAAATGAACATACCCAACATAACAAATAATTCAAAAAAGGTACAACGGAAGTAGCACGGGAACATGCAAGACCATTACACGCCACAATACGTTTACGACCTGGCCCAGGTCTACACAACCACATCAAGCCACAATAGTCAAACACGATAACAAATGGACGCCCAGCACACGACTATCATCATCCTCAAACTAGCCACAGCTGTCGAGCTCCTGGCCAGCCCTTTCTGCAGCCCGCAGCTTCTGCAGCCTCTCACCCTCGCCGCCGCAGCATCCGCCACCGCCATCAGTAAATGCATCGACGCACTTATCTTAATTCGACGAACCCCATGAACCAGAACTCATGTCCGTCCACCGTCACAACCTGTATATATCTCTCCTTCTCAGACACCGCCACAGGACCCACTGTCCCAATCTTAGCCAACGGAATCACCACCTTGTAGTAGCTCCATGCTTCTTGGCCTGATGGCGCAGTGAATGATAAGGGGCGGTCGCTGCAGAAGGCGAGGTTGATCGTGGAGAGGTAGAGGGTTCCAGCCACGGGGCCCGTCGTGGACGACAGGATAGCTACGGCGAACTTTTCTTCAAGTGCGCTCTTGAGGGGTCATGGTGAACGTTGACGTATATGGGACTCGAATCGCCCTCGGTTTGGCTTTTGCGGTTAGGGTTAGCTTTCCCCATGCTGCCCCTGGCTTGTTTGGCGCAGTGTTCACTGAGGAATTGAGGAGGTTTATGTGAGATTTTTGGATGTGAAATCAATTTATGTTAACTAATTAACTATTTAAAAGAAACAATCTCAATTAGCTAAATCCTGGCAATCACACAATGCAATGTAATCAATAATTACCTTTATTTTCTCTACAATATTCTAAATTATAAGGTCTATTCTATCCACCAATACTTATAATTCCCCCTATGTTCCTCAAGTATATATATACTTTTAACAAGTTCTTTAAAAAATAGAGAAAACGGGAGGTGAGCTGGCAGCGTAGGAAATTTCCTACGCTGCAAGTGTATGACATGTGAGCCCCCCTACTAGTCACATCGGTATGGGGCTCACATGTCATACACTTGCAGCGTAGGAAATTTCCTACGCTGCCAGCTCACCTCCCGTTTTCTCTAAAAAATATTATATATACCTAACATTTATAAGGGTCATCGCTATGTGACGTGGACATCATAAGTTCGAGTCGTGAAAATAACAACCTCTTATAAACATGCGAGGTAAAGCTAAATACAGTAGGCCCAAAGTGGTCTCGCCCATTACAGGACCCCCGCGTATAGCAAGAGCTTCTTACATGTAACCTCTAATTTATGTTGACAATTGATTTCATTATGCAACTAAAAGAGGAAAGTTGTAAAAATGCTCTAGTTTTCGCAGTCATGGTGCAATTGTATGGCGTAGTTGTACAATTGTGAAAGTGCTAGATCATTAGTAAAGCAGAGGATTGGATCCGCTCAAGATCCAGCTACAACCTATGTTTCAAAAAGAAATAAAATAGCATTCGTTTTTAGTACTTCTTTTATAACGCCTTCTTAATGCATCAAAACAAATGCTAACAATTGGAACAAAATGGTTTAAACAATAAAATTCTTAGGAATGTATGCTCGTCCGTTCATCATGTGTGATTTCTTCATAGCAATGCATTCGGAATGTAGGATGAGGGATGTAAACTATAGATGAGAAGGCACACCCACTGTCACTAAGTTGTTTTTCCCCCGCCTCTCTCCTCCTCCTCCCTCCTCCTCCTCCTGAAGAAGCTTGGTCTTAAAGACTTTGTATCACTTTTGATTACCTTTTAGCCCTCTCTCATCCAATGATAAATTTATGGGGAACATTTTCCATAGGCCAACGTGTAATATCCCTAAATTTTGGTGATAATAAGTCTATATTAGTAACTATTTAAATAGATATCCTAACAATTGAATTAACTATATTAATTTGTAGATGAGTTTGCTAGAGGGCATTTATGCAACAAAAGAAAATAGTAACTATAATAACATATTTGTATTTGTTAAGGGGCTTGCTACAAAAGAAGGTTTGATGAGGGGTTTATGGAAATATTAGCACATAGTATATAAAGAAAAAAAAATAAGTAAACCCTAGTTGTGTTGCCTTTCCTCCAAGCCGCAGACCAAAAAAAAAAAATCAAAGAAGAAGAAAGAACAAGAGACCACGTACTCCTCTTCTCCACTTGTGTCCAGTTTTTTTCACAACTGCTATTCTTCCTACTCCCTCATCAGGTCCGACCCTCTCTCTCTCCACAATTTGCAATCATTGATCTCTATCAAACTGAACAATTATAACTTTTTGCTATGGAAAATCAGTTTATTCCAGCCTTGCGTGGTCTTGGACTCTTAGGTATTGTTGATGGAATTTTTAAAGGCATCAGCGTACAATTGTGAGCAGAGTTTGGATTTCTTGTGGTATTAAGGTAAGTGGTGAATTCATGCATTGTGCACTGCGATTTTTTATATAAAATTATATTAATTATATGCGAATTTATTTCTAATGGATTATATCATTTTGTGTGATTTACTCACATGTTAAATGTTGTTTCCGAGGTGACGCACATGGATATTTAGTATAAGCCTATGCTTATTTTTTTTGTCAATTGTTATGTCTTTTCATATAGTAGTAGGTTGAGATGCATATGTGGTTGACTGATTTCACTATTGGTTGGTCTTTGGCATTTTTGTATAACTTATTTAGTGTTATGAACTTTGTTTAATTTTCTTAAAGCATATGCATCTCAGGTCAATATACCGGTATATGTCGGATATATTATGAACTTTGTTTAATTTTCTTAAAGCATATGCATCTCAGGTCAATATACCGGTATATGTCGGATATAAGCAAGTTATTTCTTAAAGCATATGCATCTCAGGTCAATATACCGGTATATGTCGGATATAAGCAAGTTATTAAAACAGGACTCAATGTGTCTCTATGAGGTTTCTATTTTAGCGCTAAGAGCCCAAGTTTGGATCTCACCGTCCTTACCACGGGCTTTATAATAGTGGGGTTTGTCAAGTCAACCGAAGTATCGAAGTGTTGACCGCATTGAGACGTGACCTGCTTATTTCCATTGTATTTTTGCATTTTAAAATGTCGCATTATAACTTTTACTATTTTAGTACTTTGCGTATAAAGTCAATTTATTTTTAGTTTTGCAAAACCAATGTTTAATGTATAAATTTATCCACTTATTGAGTTGTGAACTCATTGTGTTATATTCATTCTTTTCAGAGATTCGGGATTAAGTGGAGTTGCTGGTTCATGAGTTCTTAAAATGGAACAGAGAATAAAATTCGAGATTGTTATTGTTTTCTAGATGAAGGTTGATAAGTCTTTGATGTTTAGTTGATATTGGAAGCTTTGTAATAATAAAATATTTCCCTTTAGGTTGAGTTTTATTGAATATTCGTTATTATCAAGTTAATTGGATTAATGTTGACTTTTGGGATTATAGAGAATACTTATTGTTGGTTTTAGTTCAATGAAGAGATTATTTTGATGGACTTTTAATGAATGCATATTTTTTAAGGATTTTTTAAAGGTTTAGTCGGGCTCTAATATTGCTTTTAGGTTCGAAATTTGGGATCGTGACACAACGATAGTCGGCATCAGTGGCGGAGCCACATAGAGCTTGCCCTGGGCAGCTGCCCAGGGCAAGAAAGTTAACATATATAATACCCCCATTAAGGTTTTTGTATGTTGTCCATAAAATCTTTAGACTGCAGGATTTAAATCTTTACTTGTTCTTCTATTAAGTATGGACAACATACAAAAATCTTTAAACTGGTTTGATTTATAATCCTGCGGTCTAACTATGGCTTCAAATTCCGAGAAACCCCTCCTCATCCTCTTCTTACCCTTAGGGGTTGTTTGGTTCCCTGTTTTTGAGGGAAAGTTACTGTTGAAAGCCTGCTAAAAGTACCAAAAGTGTCACTTTTTGACAGGCTTTCAAGCAAAATCCTCTTTTTTAGAGGCGTTTTTGCTTAAAGCCTGCTAAAAAAGTGATACTTTGGCAGGCTTTCAAAAGAATTTTTTTTTAACCAAACAGCCCCTTAATGAGTCCAGGCCACTTCATCCCGATGGTCGACATGGCCGTCATTTTCTCCTCCTGCGGCGTCCGCGCGACCCTCGTCACCACTCCCGCCAATGCCGCCACCGTCCTCACCTCCTCCCCCAATCTCTCAATCGTCACTGTCCCCTTCCCCCCCCGACAAGACCCACCTCCCCCTCGGCAAAGAGAACCTCTCCTCCATCCCCTCCTCCCTCTTCGACACCTTCACCGGCTCCCTCCGCCTCTTCCGCCCTCTCCTCGAGCCCATCATCGGCTCCCTCCGCCTCTTCCGCCCTCTCCTCGAGCCCATCATCGTCGACCGAAATCCTGACTGCATCATCTCCGACTCCCTCACTGCATCATCTCCGAAACCCTTTATTTTTCGCCCAGGGCAAAAAAATTTCCTGGCTACGCCCCTGGTCGGCATTATATTAGTTTTATTGACTTTCCCAATCTTTTTGCTACTAAAAATCTAATGCAGTGTTAGGTGTGACATGGAGGAAATTGAAGGTGTATAAAATCAAGTCGTTCATCTCATTAAATTTGTCGATTTTAATGTAGTAGATTGTAAAACGATGAATATCTAATTGTATCTATTTTCTCTACTTCAGATTTTAACAAGATATAAGTATGTTCAAAATCTCTCTATCGCATCCCATACTACTGTCTAATTCCCAAAAAAAAGAAAAAAAAAACTAAAAGTGAGTTGTGCTCTGCCCCAAATCACAACATATCAACAAATAAATAAATTAAAAAAAAAAGCATCCGATTTAATACTCACAATTGTGCCAAACATTGGAAGCAAGGGTCTCAGCCTTCTTCGTCCAGGAATCAAAAGCGCCAAGTATGTTCTCCATGGGGCTCTGATGGCTCGCTGAAGCGCTGGTGCGTGCTGCCAGCGGCACGTGCTGGAGCACGTTACGGCCTGCTCCTCGCTACGTCGCTGCGCGTGCGGGCCCCAGGCATGCCGCCTGCTGGTTCTGCGGGTGCGACGACGGTCGGCCCCGGCGGGCCCATCTATTCTTCGCTCCCCCAGCCGGCCGCCGCTCCTCCTCTCCCCCCTGACCTGGGTCCACCCGGCACTGGGTCACGGTCTGGGTCGCTTTCTCGGTCTCCTTGACGTTCTCCATGGCCACTTTCCCTGGGGGTTTTCGGTTCAGAAGGGTTCCTGGATGAAGACGACCGTGTTGGAGTTGGTGAAGTTTTTTTTTTTTTTTTTATTTTTATAGCGTGATGATGGCGCCTTCACCGCAGCGGAGACAACGCGTGTGCGCATCAAAAATGAGGGCGAAAGACAGCGAGGATTGTTTTAAACCGTTGGATTTTGATCGTAGAGTGTAGATGAAAATGACGGGCGATTGCCCCGTGCTTATCCCGTCACTGAGGTCGGCTAAATTGGCAGCCCAATATTAAATATAAATCATATCACATCCTCTTAAAAAAAAAAAAAAATGATAGAGGCACACTCTAAGACACACCACCAACCATACTCCAAAAAAAAAAAAAAATGATAGAGGCACACTCTAAGACACACCACCAACCATACTCCCTCTCTCTCTCTCTACAGTGCAGGGAGTCACACATGTGATTTTTTTAAAAAATCACATGTAGGACCCCCTGCACTGTAAAGAGAGAGGAAGTGTGGTTGGTGGTGTGCCTTAGAGTGTGCCTGTATCGTCTCTCTCTTTAAAATTACGTGTTCAGGCAAAAAGTATTTTTATGGTTAATATAATGTTTTACTATTTTAAGTATTTCAATTAAATCTTAAATTCATCCTAATTCTAATTATATATTCTGCTAATCCCATGTGATTACATGAGCTACCTATAGCTAACGTACTATAATACATGAAGTGTAATAAAAAAACCAAAAAGTTTCGTACCATAATACATGAAGTATTATGAAAAAAATATACAAAATTTAAAAATTGCACAAAACACTCTCAAAATTTAAAATTACACAAAGCATCCTAACTTTTCAAAGGTTCAACTAACAAAAATGAGACATGGAAATTAACAACAGCCCATAAGAATTTTAAATTTATAATTAACACAACAACAACAAAGCTTCGGCTATATGATTCTTAGGGACTGTTTGGTTCAATGGAGGGTATGAATAGAATTAGGAATTCTATTTTTTTTATGGATTCCAACCTAATCCATAAAAAAAATTAAGACAAGTACATGGATTCATGGAATCCTTTTTTTTTCTTTCTATGTTTGTTTCATAACATGAAAAATAGAATCCAACTTTGTAGAAACCCACCAATTCCTATTCTTTAGTTTGGTTTGGAATGAGAAATTTTTTGGATAAATGGTGAGAACACCTTATGAATGAGATTCAAAACCAGACCAAAGGAGCTACAAACTCATGAATGAGATTCAAAACCGAAAGCAACATCGCCAAAGCAAAGGAGATACACGAGCTCATGAATGAGATTCAAAACCGATAGCAACATAGCCAAACCAAAGTGGCTACACCATCTCCTGAATGAGTTTCAAAGCCGACAGCAACAAAACCAAACCAAAGGAACTACACAAGCTCCACCTGACATCATACAAAACCCCACAAGCTCCTGAATAAGATCATTCAAAACCAAAGGAGATCAATCAAAAACCGACAGCAAAATAACCCTACAACAAAAAATACCAAACAGAAGGAGTTACACAAGCTCCTAAATAAACCCACCGTCTGACAGCAACATAGCCAAAGCAAAGGAGCAACACAAGAGTGAAACCTGACAGCAAAAAATCCAAAGCAAAGGCGCAAAACAAGCTCCACATGACAGCAAACAACCCAAAGCAAAGGAGCTACACAAGCTCCACAACAAAACCGCACAACACCACCACCCCAACACCCTACTGTATTCATTCCCACCTCCATCGAGCTCTCTTTTCTCAAACGCACAATTAGATCTCATTCCCACCTCCGTATATTAATTCTTCATAAAAGAAACCAACAAATTAATTAAGGACATCCTTCGTCATCTTCTTTTCCAATTCAATTCGATTCGATTAATATATGAATCCTCTAAACATCTCCATGGATTAAAACTTGAAGAGCTTCCCCATCCTCTCCTACATCATGGAGTGCCTCAACTCATCATCCAGCAGGTCTTTGCCCTCCGACGGCACCGAGCAGCAAGTGCAGCAGTACCAGCGGCCCTAGCTCGACGTGCTGGAGCACATGCCCCACCTCACCGACCCCTCCATCCTCTCCGCCATGAAGACCATGGTCTCGGAGGTCGCCTGCACCTGATCCGTCCTCTAGACCCTTGGGGACCGCCTCGAACCACGACGAACGGCAGGAAAAGAGGCGCGAAGAAGACCGAGATGAGGCGGGAGAAGAACAGCGGGAACAGCCTCAACTAGATCTTGGGTTCGTGAAGAGGCGGAATTCGAATAAGAAAGAGAAAAGAGAGAAAGTACAGGATGTCAGACTTTTGCCCCAATTCCTCTCAAACGGAGAGGTTTTGGGTTTCCATAAAAAACCACTATTTTGACCACTTCATAGATTTTGAAGTCTATAATTTTTTTTAATCAAACTCAAGATTAGGATTTATTTGGAATCCTTTAATTACGATTTTACCACTGTCAGCTCCAAATGTTATTCATTTTCCATAAAATGAGTGAAACAAACAGCCCCTTATTCTTCCATTCCATTCTATTATGGATCATCTCCTCTATTAAGCTAATAATAATCATATCTTTCTTAATTACCTCCAACTAACTCCTTCTGGGTTCACTTCTAGATCTCTTTAATTTATTAACTATAATATTATCATTTTTTCTAACCGGTGTACTAGGAGGTCTACGTTGTACATGGTTGTACCGTCTTTATTGATTCTCTCTCATTTTATCCTCAATAGGAGCAAATTTTAATTTACTAAAGATGTAATCATTTCTTATCTTAGCTTTTAGTGTATATCCACAAGACCATCTTAACATTCTCATTTCTGTTACAAAATTTGTAGTTACCACCCTAAATTTAAGATTTGCAATTAACACCATTAATTTTTTAAAAATTGTCGAAACATCCTCAGAAGTTCAAATTACAAAAGAACACCTTGAAATTCTAAAATTTCAAAACTTTAAAATATCATAGATGAATCCATAGGATTACCATTAGGCACCTGAAATTTTAAAATTTGCAAAGCATTGGTTGCGTCGAAAATTGTTATTTTCATTGCTATCGAATCTATTACAACTTTAGTCGTTAAAATAAACTCGAATGAAATAAAAAGTTAATCTTTTTATAAGATCTCCTTACACAATGAAAATAAAACAAGTTTACAACTTTATCATATAAGATCTCCTTACACAATGAAAATAAAACAAGTTTACAACTTTATCAAACAAACGCAGAGATCGTTTATCGGTCTTCTGCTTCAACTTTATCAAACAAACGCAGAGATCGTTTATCGGTCTTCTGCTTACGTGGGATCTTTGCCTGTGCCGGAGTTTATCCGTGGACCACCATCGATCAGATCTGATTGTTGAAAAATTAGGCAGAGCTTCGTCTATCCGCAAAGGGATCGAGAAACTGTAGCTCTTATCTCGGCGAAGCGAGATAATCACTCTTCTTAAGATTAACGCAACGGGATAATCCTAAGGAACGAACCGAGCTGCAGATCTAACTCCTCCTCCTCTCTGAAATCTGTGTACTTTTAAGTCTTCAATCCGGCAGGGCTTCGCCGAGGCACAAGAATTCCAGATCTCCCAAAATGAGGGTCTGAGGCTTGTATTTATAGGCTTGAGGGGTTCCGGGCTTGATCCGAGATACCCTAGGGTGTCTCGGTTTGGGTCGAGACACCCTAGTGTGTCTCAGCCTTGGCCGAGACACCCTAGGGTGTCTCGGCCTTAGCCGAGACACCTTAGGGTGTCTCATTAGTCCGAGACACTCCGTTATGGTGTATTTGCCCATTTCCGCTGTAAATTCTTCGTCTGAACTCGGATTTGAGTGATTCGAAGTACGTTGGAAAGCCGACAAGGAGTTCTATCAGTTCCGATGGTTGGATCATCTGTAGAAAGAATGAGACACGAAGGGCGTTGTTCCTTTTGTAAACATCACGGGGCTCCCCATTAGCCTGTACCTTCGTTATTCCGAAATTCTGTTAGTTCTCGTAGTTCGTCGATTCACTTCAATCGTTCACCGACATCAATCGAACTCCTGTGAGTCGGATAGCTACGTTCATCATCGTTTCTTAACACTGAGCTGTTCGTGGAGGCCTATAGGCAATTTTCGATGCCTACAGATACCCCCTCCAAAGCGTTCCAGACTCGTTTCTTTTGTATAAGAGGCTGGAATACTTTGGATGTGATTGGTCCAGCCTTCAGTCGGCGTGAAGGACCTGTAGTTAGCTTCGATTCTTGACTTCTTCAATCTTCAGTTTATTCGATGCTTTGACGAATAACTGAAATCCTTCCGGCGTTGCGTTTATCGTCTGGCCGTCGTCGAAGTCTCAAATCTAACACTGATGAGTTGAGTTTGGCTCGTGTCATTGACTTTGAACTGACTATCTTCGTCATGATATATTGACTCGCGTTGACTTTTGTATTGCAACACGTTGATTGGCGTTGACCTAGGGTTACGTGTTGACTGGCGTTGACCTAGGGTTTCGGATCGCCTGGCGTTAACTTTTTCATCGCAACGCGTTGACTGACGTTGACCTAGGGTTACGTGTTGACCGGTGTTGACCTAGGGTTTCGAATTGCCATTAACACAGTTTATACTCGTGCGTTTTCTGGAGTATACACAGTTTAAGCTCTTAAGGTATTAGAGCGTGACGGTCTCAAATTTTAGGGCTGCAGGACCAACTATTAAAGTTGTTTCGTCTGCAGATATGGATCTTGGATCTTATCCCGAAGTTGTTGGATGCTCAAGTCACAAGATCAACTAATAAAGTTGATGCGTCAATGACTCGCATTTATAGAATTTTTGGTAAATTCTCAGCCATCAACGGGTTTGATGTGCCTTTACCAACTACCGTTTGAGTCGGGCTAGCACGCGGATTGTTTAAGTCCGTCCTGCATGTGACGCTAAGATAAAAGAGTTAACCCTTTTAGTGCTACGATATTGAATACGTAGACTTCGTCTTTCTCCTGTGAAAAGACTAAACAGCGACGTGTAT